TAAGATTTAAAAGGTAAATATTTTTAATAATTTTATCTAATATGTATTGTTTTTCCTCCTTTTTCTCTTTTAATTCAACAATTTTTTCAATATCGTCGCCAGTTAATTTTCACACTATTCTTCGTGTTTCTTTACAGTTAACGTTCGACGAGCAAGCAAGAGGAAACTTTTTACTGACGAATTTCTTTGACGTTAAATACATATTACTTTTAGTAGCACAGTGTTTCATATTTTTTCAAACTCTTTTGTTCTTTAACTAAAAGAACGACGTTTCTTATTAACTGGTATAAATTAAAAATTTCAAAGATCGTTACAAAATTAATATTTCTTTAATAATTTTCTTTCATTATTTCTAGATTCTCTTTGATCTTACTTTTTCATTCGTTATAGATAACCATTATTAACGAATTAAAGTAGCATTCGATGGTCTTAAAATTTATTAAATAACATCGTGAACCGATTAAAAACTCGATGAATAAATCAAAGAACGTATCTCGAGAAGATATAAATTTCTGCGTATCTAATGAATGCGATATCGAAATAAAAAAGAACAGATAAAATTATTTTATAATAATAAAAAATTTATTATTTATTACTTACCATTCATTTTAATGTTGCTTTTATCATAATTTTCTATTATCATAAAATTTCCAACTTTTATATTTTTCACGATTTTTCAGATATTATAAATACCCAAATTTTCTCAGTAAGCAGATGTTTCATTCACCTTTTTTACATATATAAAAGTGTCTCAAGGTAACGAATTTTCAAAAATGTTTCAATAAAAATTTTTATGACTATCTACGGAGTGAGGTCACGTGACAAATTTCATCAAACCATCAGGTAGAAATCGAAAAGTTTTTGAAGTGCACAATATTTCGTTATCTTTTCCGTTACTATAGTACCTTCGATATTTTATTTCGAATATTGTGAAAAATATAACCTTCCAATTGGTTGTAATAAAAGTCGGAATAGGTCCTTCGAGTGAAACGATTGTGGAACCTCCACGAGAGACCTTTGACCTTTGCTACGTTTCATCTTACGTTTATGAGTGTACGTATGTACGTGTACTTAAATATATGTGTGAGACATTTATATGAGACTCGTGCGACGAGAAGATAATGTGAAATTTTTCTATGCACATACAAATATCCACTTTAACGTGTTAACCGCTATTATATCTAATTATATTTATATTTTATTCACTTTTATCTAATATATTTGGTTTATAAACTACAAAATATTAATCGTTTGATGATTTAATTTTTTCTTTTTTTTTTTTTTATAAGTTGTTCATGGTTACTCTGATAAGACAGTTTTTAATAACAATTCTACTGAATGAAAAATAAATATATTAATTAAATATAAATAATGCCAATTTATTCATATAATTTTGTAATTTTTTCTAATTTTTCTGAATTATTTTAACATTATTTGACATAATAAAAGATATAATAAGTTTTAATTATACAATGTGCATAATTTAGAATTTTAATTAATTGGATAATAATATGTAAAAAAGAAATGTCATTTAAAAATATTTTTTTGGTCGTTAATTTGAAAGTTTTAGGTTTTATTCATTTATATTTTATTCTATTTAATGAATAAAATAAAATCGGTAAGATATTAAAAGAAATTTTTTTTTTCTAAAAATTCATATATATTGAAATACATCCAAGGAGAGGTTTAGGTAGTTTTATCTACTTTTCGATGATTTCATCATTTCTTATACATAAGCGAGGACGCAAATCGATTAGCGGCCATTAAATATTAAACATACTTAAATATGCACGTGCTTTTATATATCCATTTATAGCACGAACGATAATACGGATGAGTAAATTTCTGGAAGACCGTTAAGGTGTTTGAATGTAATAGAGTTAAGAAACATGTTTGTGTGTTTGTTTTTCTTGACTGTCAAAGGTATCCTACTTGTCAGAATTTAGTTAATCGATCTTAAATTTAGATGTTTTAATATCATCCTTAAACATTACTTTCATGCATAATGATTACGTCACTCAATAAACATTTTAAAATGGAATTTATATATAAATTAAATCAAGAAAAACTCTTTCATCATACCACGCGAATTTCACAAAAATGTATTTTTAAATGGTTTAAATGATATTCAGTTTATTTTATAATAAAGTGTAGAGTTTATAAAGAATGGCGTGACTACCTCATCGATCCTGAAAAATAGAGAAAAGGTTAAGTATTATCGGTTAAATCTGATCTTCTAAATTGACCTCTAATTTGCACTTTATTTCTTTTTCAACGTTTAATCCCTCGATTCCTTATGTATTTATTCAAATGCATTTATTGCGTGTATTTAAGTATTCAAATCTCTGTCTGGTATCTTGAAGTATGAGTAAATAAAAAAGTCGAAAAGTATAATCAACAACCTATTCGTTTTGCAAAGAAATAAACTGAATAAAATTCCAGTTTGAATGGTGAATTAAGAAAAATATTTCACGTAAAATTGATTTGCCTCGTGTTTTTTATATTTTAATCTTCTTTTTGAAGAAATTTTTCGTACCTATTTTCAACAGTTGTTTCGACTTCGTCTTTGACATTATACAGTTATGAGAAATAGTCAGTAAAATGAAATCTCCTTTACATCGTTTTGAAGTCGTGTTTTCTTTTATTTTTTTTACTCTTCTTCTCATTCTCTCTCTCTCTTTTCTTTCTTTTTTCTCTTTCTTTCTCTCTCTCTCTCCCTCCCCCCCCTCTCTCTCTCATTTAATGAGAATATCTCTTGAGAAGGAATAAAAAAAGAACGAGATTTCTCTTTTGCATCATCGTGCATACGAAGCGCTAAAAAGCTCACTATGTTTCTGATCTCTTCTTTATCTTCTATTTTTATTTATAAATGCGGATGAGAAAAAAAGAGTAGAAGCTTGGTAATTTTCTTCTAACGTATTTTCTTCATAAAAATCTTCCTCTTCGAGTGATTAATGTTGGAAGAACGACTTATTGCGAGATTCAATGATAATATCTGTCGTTATCAACCTTTCCTATGAAGGAAACTTTTCCTTTGTATAATCAACTTTTCTATTATGTGCAGTATCAAACCTTCACAGAATATGATTTTATTTACGCGTTTTTCATAGATATACTTATAAACAGAATTATGTATTATAAAACAAATATTTATACGTATATATGTGTGTGTGTGTGTGTGTGTGTGTGTGTGTGAATTATACATATATTTAATTATAGAAATCATTACACGTAAAATATTCTGTAGAGAATTAATTTCAGTTGGTCTATAAATATTGTAAATCGTATTTACATTGAATTATAAAATGGGAAAAAAAAGGAAGAAAAAGATATAAATATTTTAAAATTAACATTGTAATATTGGCAAACAGTTAATACCGTAACATAATAAACAAGTAACGTTTACATCTTTAAAACCGAAAGTGTTGCACACGTCATCCCTTGTTCAGCACAATGCACTTTCCTTCTAGTTCTCAAGGGTATCGTAAACACGAAATGCTATCATGCAAGTACACATACATGGATACACGTACACATGTCGGCACTCATACCGCAGAGACCATAAAGTTTTACGTTCAGACTGCTACAAATATACTTACTCGCTGAAAAATCGTAGCTCTATATCGCACCCGTTTACCGCGTTATTCTGCACGTCCGTCTATTTTCATTTTCGGAAGAAAATTTGCGTTTTCCTGGAGCAGCTATTATACTCTCGAAGTTTCTTTATTTATGTAAAATAATCAGAAAGAAATTATATTTATTCGATAGATATCACTGTACAATAAAAATATACTTTTAAATTCTTAAATAAAACTAATCAAATTCTCAATCATTTAAGGGTAAAAAAAACGACTATAATTATATATTAAATATGACTACAATTATAATATTCATTTTCTAGATACACTATTTGCGAACATAAATGTAAATAATAGAATCATAGGGAAAACAATAGTAAAATAAATACCATGACTATTTCATAAAAGCTAATATAGAAACAATAAATATAGACAACGATAATTCAGTATTCTTATATTCATTTGTATCAATAATGAATGTTAAAATTCATATTTGTTTTCTTCATGTTGAAATCAATACGAATTGATTATTTTCAAATCAGAAAGATTTTCATTGTTTACCGATATATTCAATATATATTCGTATTTTTTACATTTCTCTCTACTATATCAATTATTATTATTAATTTTTATTCGATTAATCCGAATTTTATCAAAAAATAATTTACCCGATATTAAAACTATATCACTTTTCGTAGAGATTTAATGTTGGTCAGTTGCTATAAATGTTGGTTAGTATGAATTTATGAATATAATAGATATATAAAACGCAGCCCTCAATAAACTAGAAACCTTCTATCGTCTTTGAAATCGAAACTAGGCTAGCGTGAAGGGCAAATGGGAACACACACAATGGGTTAAGAAAATCTAGTTGCAGCCGAATGTTGGAAAGGACGTTGTATGCTCAAAAGAAACTTATACATACACAGATATAAATAGATACTTACACATAGAATTCTATACACATATATATATATATACATATATATATACATATATATGTATATATATGTATATATGTATGTATATATATATATGTATATATGTATATATATATGTATATATGTGTATATATGTATGTATATATATGTATATATATACACATATATGTACAATATATATATGTATAGATATACACATATATGTACAATATATATATGTATTTATATACACATATATGTACAATATATATATGTATAGATATACACGTATATGTACAATATATATATGTATTTATATACACATATATGTACAATATATATATGTATATATATGTATATATATATATATATGTACACTTAGAGAATATCTGTGCAAACTCAAAGATAGTACAGAAAGATATTCTTTAGAAAGTAATATCCAGTACGAGTTCAATATCAGTTATTTCTATTGCGTAAAACGAAAGTTTTCCTTTTGTTCCAGATATTCTCCTCAAAGCAGTACACTGATATTCTCGGAGAAAGAAGAAGAGAATTGTTGCTGAAAGGCCAAGATAAGTACGATAAGTCCCCTTCGATGTACCGTACGATGAAACATCATCATAAGGAGCAGAGACAGACGAAGAAGGAGAAAATGTCAAGTTCGCCGTTTATTTTGTCGTCATTTTCGTCGCAGATATCATCGAGTTTCTACTTGTATGTTTCGAAGAGACGAAGAATCGACGTTTAAATCGTTATCCTTCTCGTCGTCGACTTCTCAACAATCGACTACACGTATTCTGCATTTTTGAAAATATTCTTACGATTTATAGACCTTGAAAAAGGTCTGAGAAAATTTTCACGATGAACGACACTTTGAATACGACTAGTAGCATCATTGATTACACACAAACAAACAGTACCAATGAGCCGACGATACAAAATTGTCAGGCTGATCTGCCGATCGTTTCTCTGGTTACACAGATTCTTTACTCGATCGTTTGCATTGTTGGTTTACTTGGAAATACTTTGGTGATATACGTTGTCCTACGTTTTTCAAAGATGCAGACAGTGACGAACATGTATATCGTTAACCTTGCTATAGCTGATGAATGTTTCTTGATAGGTATACCTTTTCTCGTAACAACAATGAGTACGAGAAGTTGGATCTTTGGGAAAGTAATGTGTAAGATCTATATGACGACAACGAGTATAAATCAATTCACTAGTAGTATCTTCCTCTTCATTATGAGTGCCGATCGTTACATAGCCGTTTGTCATCCTATATCTTCTCCGAAAATGCGAACACCCTGTATATCCAGGGTAGTCTCTTGTACCGCTTGGGCTAAAAGTGCAATCTTTATGATACCAGTATTTCTTTACGCAAACGTAATGGAGTCACCTAAGGGTAACAGCTGCAACATTTATTGGCCGGACGATCGCGGTGGTCAAACAGCTTTCACTCTTTATACTTTCATTCTTGGTTTTGCCGTTCCGTTGATCCTTATATTGATCTTTTATTTCTTGGTAATTAGAAAACTTCAAACGGTAGGACCAAAAAATAAATCAAAGGAGAAAAAACGTTCTCATCGTAAAGTAACCAAATTAGTGTTAACTGTCATCACTGTTTATGTTTTTTGTTGGCTACCTTATTGGCTAATGCAAGTAGCTTTGATTTATACACCCCCGAAACAATGTCAGTCAAGCATCAGTATCGCTAGTTTTTTGTTGGCTGGATTTCTTAGCTACAGCAACAGTGCTATGAATCCGATACTCTACGCTTTTCTTAGTGATAATTTTAAGAAAAGCTTTTTGAAGGCTTGCACTTGCGCAGCAGGTAAGGACGTGAATGCGACACTGCACATTGAAAACAGTGTATTTCCACGAAAGAACAAAACAAACGCTGAGAAGATCCAATCCAATCGTCATGTAATTTCGGGACAATCGAAACTTGAGTTGGAAGACGAGGACGCTGAGAGAGGTTTGTTGGTCAGTAAAACTTCGACTACAACCGTGACGATGACATCACGATCGAATATCACGGTAACCAGTGAAAATAATCGAGATCACTCTAATAAAGACAAGGAAGGCTTAAAGAATGGAGCACAGCTCACTCTGCTCACACAAGTTTAAATTATCTTATTCAATGATGTTAAATATAATCTAAAGGAAATCATGATAAATCGAGTATTTGTGTCTTTGATGATAAAATTATTGATTCTCTAACAAACGAGAGTTTTTGGATTGAATCCAAAATTCCATGAAAGTTATTATCTTTAGAGATTAGTGACCGATACTTCGACCTCAATAACTTTCAATTCCTCCGAATACGGTCGTTCGTACCAAATAATGAAGTTTCTAAAGGGAATGTCGAAAAGAGGAAGAAAGATGGAGACTTTTGCTGACGTAGAAATGACATTACAGGACCGGAACAATCGCACTGCAGGAGTTGTAGTCGTCCCCCTCGACGATAGTGAAACATTGGAAAACAATGACTTAATGGCCGAACATCCTGACTCTTTTCTAAAAACAAGATTCTCTTCTTTTTTCGTTCTCCCGTTCAATAAAATCGGCTACCACTCAACTTGGTCTCTTATAACGTTGATGATCTTCAAGAGAAACTTTCTACAGAAGAACGTAAGAACAAAAACGATGTGTCGTACTCGAGTGCGGATTTAATGGTGCTAGATCGAATTCCCTAGTTTGCTATAATGACTATTCTTATTCTCTCATAAGAAATATATATATATATGTATGTATGTATTTATATATGTATTATATATTATTATATGTATTTATATATGTATATTTATATATTATTATATGTATTTATATATATGTATATTTATAAGTCTATATATAAATATATATATACATATATATATATATATATATATATATATATGTATGTATGTATGTATTTATATATTATTGTTATTACAAATTATGCAGATTTGTGGATGATTTCTTCAAATTTAATGGCGATTATAGCATTTCTTAATTAATTCTTGGCAAATTAAAATATCCAAGAATTCCGAACGATAATGTTTTCATTGTCGATTTTAGATTTTAAGTGTCATAAAAAAGAATTCAAATTTCGATGACGAATTTCGATCATCGTAACGTACGTGTGTGTGTGTGTATGTGTGTGTGTGTGTATGTAAATAATTTGAAAATCACTTCTTGTGCTCGTAAAGACAACGTCTTATTCGCATTTACAAGTGTGCCCATATCTTCTCGTTGTCTTTCACATGGAATTACATGAGTATAAAGCACTGTCTGATATTATTCGTATTCCGAATTTGAATTTATAATGTGCTTGGCTGTATTCCATCGTGCCAAAAATAAACGTCGATGCTTCGCAGTCCGTAAAATTTGTCATTTTGTTAAAAGAAGAAAGGACATTCCTCATGACGAGTATCTGTCGATATTGTTTTTCGATGGAGAAGCAGTAAACAACATTATTTTTCCCAATGTCTATGATTACCTCGTGAAATATTTATACATGTCGAAAGCTCTCTATATTTATTCTCTAATTAAGTTAACTTTTGATCTATAAAGCTCTTCTCCAATTCGATCCAATCTATCTCCAATCTATCGAAGAAGTTATCCTCTCTTCATACAGTATGACTTCACGTACCGTCGTTTAATTTGTATGTCGTCGAAAGTTATGATTCGTTCGTATTAATGACTATTCAGAAATATCCGAAATAGAGATACGAATGTCAAATGATATTATATATATAAAAATAATGCAATTAAGAAAGATTGAAGAAAATATATAAAATTATATTCAGATTCATAAATGTGAAAATATAAAATATAATATTTTAAATGAATATATTATTTTTTTTTTATTATTATTATTTGTCTAACAGATAAAATATATTATCATCTATTTTTTATTATTAATTATCAATTCATTTTTCCAAGAAATAATTAACAAGCCATAAAGCCATTCGTTTCATTTCTAAAAGCGTAATTTCAAATTTCATTTATATTTAATCTTTGAAAATTTTTGTCAAATAATTTTATCGTATAATTTCGCGAACATAATTTTACGGTGGATGAGCCGATAACTTATCGCTTCAAACTTAACGGAGTAATTCGATAACTTGAAATACTCTTCCTCTCTTACTGACGTCGTACACTCAAGAAGAGAGAGATAGAGATATCGGATGATGAAACTCATCGGTAGCATCGAGAGTCTACGTTTCTGGTCTCTTAGCAATCTTCTAGCATTACTATCTTCTTATCGATAGAAAGTTCATTTCGGATTACTTACACGCTTACATATACCTATTATGTCTGGTTTTTTTTCTTGTTTGCATCGTAGACGTCACGTATTATTATTTCTTCTTTATACGCATCTAACACACTCAATGAATTAGATATTATTTATTTGTGCATTAAAAAAAGGTTTAATTTTCTTTATGATTAATTTTAATAGTTCTTGGTTTTATTTATTTTTATTTCTTTTTTTATTTTTATACAGATATTACTTTTCATGATTAAATAAAAATCTATTGTTATTATTTTTCTTTGGGAGACTATGACCGTAAAACAATTCGAATTTGTGAATTCATCTGATGCAATTTATTCACATTCGAGTTACGTTTGGATTGTGACCAACCTTTTTTTAAATGCGTTCAATAATTTCCTTGGACCAAACGATGAATTAGATCATATTCATTCATGCATGAAATTAATAATTTTTTCTACGATTGTTTTAATAATTCTTATTTCTTTTTTCTTTTTTTTATTTATAAACAGATAACAGTTTTTAAGATGAAACAAAAATTTTTCTTTTTCTTTATGATACCTGTAAAATGGCAATGACACGTAAGACATGATATTCGAATTTGTGAGTTCGTTAGATCCAATTTATTCAGCTTTGGATTACATTTGAGCTACATTTATGATTAACCTTATATTTTGCACTTATTCAACAATCTCATTGGAGGATTAGATTTTATTCGTTCGTGCATTAAGAAAGTCTAATTATCTGGATAATTATTTTCATCGTTTTTGTACTATTTTCAATTTTAAGCAGACTATATTTTTCACGGTCAAGCAAAAATTTCTTATTATTTTTTTATATTAACTGAAGAGAGATACTGGCAAAAAAAAATGATGCGAATTTGTGAGTTCATCAGATGCAATTTATTCACGTTTGCGAATGGTGCGATAAAGACCGATTTGATAAATAATTTGCCATAAACGTCAGTAAAGACGCGAAATTAACGATCGTTAAACAGGATTAAACGAGATCGCACCACGTAATTTCGTAAATATTTTACAATGCGGCCACGGTATATAAGGTAATAGGTACGTGTCATAATAATCTGCCTGAGGCCAAGCATCGTCACCAGATGATGCAAGTTAAATTACCTATGATATCATTTTCGATGATGGTGGATAAGAAGTCATCGATCCAAAATAAATCCACTGTGAGACTATAACAATAATCATTCATTTCGATTAATCTATTCCATAGTCGAAAGTTGATATCACATGTCTATATATTTGTCTTATTTCATTTCTATACCATAAATTTACATATTAGTTTATATTTGCTAAGTATAAACTTTAAATTATATAATTTTATTTTTCAAACAAAGAAAAAAATTTTTTCATAAAGAATTCATGTGTTAAAATAATCGAGATAATAATTTCGATAAAGGGTCGTTGAAAAATAATAATATTGTTACATGAATGAAATAATCGTCGTTCATTAAAAATATTTAATAATTTTATCTCGGAAAATAAAAAATTAACGTTTACGTTAATTATCAAGACAATGAGTGATATTTCGTAGAATATTTAGTAATGGTTGGCAAGATCTCGTAGAACGATTCACGCTACAGTAAATTTTCTCAAAGCTGAGTCGTATAAATCATCGCATGGAAAGTAAGTCGGTGTTTACCGACCTCTTCGCGTTTCTCTCGAGAATGGTCGCTTCTGGCGTGATACTGCTACATTAGCTCAACTTTCTTAAACTTGCTGCTGGCGAATTTCATGAATCTCTTGGTGTCATGACTCGAGCAATATTCTTCTTTTACTTCAGTATGTAACAAAGAATAAGAAAAAGAAAGATAAATATACATGTATGGAAGTAAGATGAGGGTGAGAAAAAAAGAAAAAGAATGTGTGTGCCAAGGTTTTATTCATTTACGGGAAACAATTTCCCTTAAAAGCAATGATAAAAATTAACATTCACTTCTATAAAACACGATTATATTATGCGTAAGATTCTCTTTCTCTCTCTCTCTCTCTCTCTCTCTCTTTCTCTTATTTTTTCTATTTTCTTCCTCTATGTTTGTAGAGTATGACGAATTAGAAGCATAGTATATTACTTTATCTCGCCAATGCTAAAGTATCAGATAATCAAAAGGAGGGTAAACAAGAAAGAGAGAGAGAGAGAGAGAGAGAGAGAGGAAGAGAGAGACGAAGATAGATAGGGAGACGAAAATAGATAGAGAGAGAAGGAGAGATATGGACTAATGATAAGATGACGACGATATGTCGCGATAATAATGTTAAATGTTTCTTTTCATAACTTCATTTTTTCTTGCTCTTTTTCAATGACACTTTAGTTTCTTATCATCGACAGATTGTTAAACATCGGCGATCATCTTACTGGGACTTAATTTCATTCCCTCGATTGCACTTCCCGATAGGATAGATATATATCATTCGAAAAAAAAAAAGGAAAGAAAAGAAGAAAATGTAGATCCACTTTCGACGATATTTTCATTCGTTCATCGCATAAATTTTTCACGAACCACGAATTTTGAAGAACGAAAAAGAGAGAGAGAGAGAGAGAAAGAGAGAGAGAGAGAGAAAGAGAAAGTGAGTATGTGAAAGAGAAAAAAGCATCATCGTCCCTCTCTCTTTCTCTCTCTCACTCTCTCTCTCTTTTTTTTCTATCTCCTTCCCTGTCTTAGAAAAACGATTGGGAACGATCCCAATAACTTTCGACGAATGCGAGAATAAATCTACGATACGATATATATCTTAAATTTGAAGACAATGCGAAGAGAAGCGATAACGTTTGGGGGATAATGATAACTTTTCAACTATCGATTTGTTCTCACCATTGGTACTTGGAAAGAATTCCTTGAGTATTCATCAAAGGAAATTTTATTTTATCCTGCACATTTTTCTTTTTAAGCCTGATAAAAATGCTGTGTAATATTTATTTTTCTTTAGTTGTCTCTAATACAAATTAAGTTATAAATAGAAAATAAGTATATGTGCATATGTATATATATATATATATATATATATATGTATATTTATGTATATATATGTATATATATGTATATATATGTATACATATGTATATATATGAATATATATATATGTATGCATATATATATATATTATTCTTTAACGTTTTTCATTATCTCTTAAATATTTATGCGGAATATATATAATGCGTTATGTAACAATTTATTTCTTCATTAAATT